TGCACAAGTATGTTTTCGTTCAAGCCAGTTGCAATGTTCAGGGTCTCACATGGTATATCCTGTGTTTTGTCTAAATGTCCTGTATATTTTCTTTTTAAATAGGATTAAAAAACAAAAAAACACAAACAAAACTGGACCATTGAAAGAGGCAAACAACGCTTCACATCGGACTCTGATTTGATGGAACGCTGAAGAAGTTCAAGAGAGACAACTTTTAGTTGTCAAACACGTAGTATGTATAGGTAAAACACGAGTTACCTCCCTAGTGACTTCCCTGTCAGTCGCGTTTAGATTGAATGTCCTTTCCAGTCTGATGTTGGTTTAAAAAAAATCAAATAAACAAAAAACAAAACAAAAATCAAATAATCCACACAAAAAATAAATAAAGTGTTGCTAAAGAATATTGGACCAGAGCAGCAGAAGAAAAACTCTCTTTTGTCTCCAAACCAGTTGAAATATGGTTTGCTTTTTTAATTTCTATGGAACCAAATAGATGACCCCAAGACAGGATCAGGCTGATATAACTTTAAAAGATCTTGTGAATAAGATGGTGCTAAAGTTAGGCAGACATATCAATAAAAGTGCAACATGCAATCTTAAAAATCTTTCCGCTTTTCTACATGTACCGGCTGCCTCTAGAACTATAATAGAATTTTTTAATTCCTTGTATCCAACATATCTACTTTTCCTTACCACTATTCTGGTTGCTTCGTTCAATTTTATTTTTATTCTGGAGAAAGAATAAGGTGCTACAGCGGCATCTGGGGCGTGGGGTAGCAGGTAGGCACTTTGCTGTGTCAGGCAGGGGACCCAATTTCGATTCCAGAGTGGGGAGAACTTTTATTCGAATGTCGGTCTGTCTGCTGGGATGTTGTATCCCTCTCAGCCCGGTTTAGCCCAGTCCTGAGCAGGGTGGAATGGAAGTCCGCCTCCTAAATGATCTAAATTGTGTAGAAACTGCCTAAGGTCATATGAGCGCCAGAAGATAAGAGGCGTTACAAGAGAGTAACAAGCATTAAAAAAGAAGAAGGATGGGGAGATAAGGACGATAGATGTTTGATAGGAAAGAAGAAGCAAACCACACCAGAGCACCCGCCAACCACCCACTTATACCTTTCTTTGAATAGATGTAATAATCAAGCTTTAATATTTGAAGATCTTCTCAAGTGAACAAAAACCATCTACATCTAGTTTCCGAAAAATGGAATCAGACTTTTGTTTTGTGTATACTAGTACTAGACATCTTTGGGCGGATGGCATTTCCCTTCATTTGACCAGGCCTTGATGTCTGGGATCTTCTTGCTCGCGGTGACGGTGTTAATTTTCTCACAGATGTCGCACCAGTCGATGTAGTGACCCAACCCAGTCAGCTTGTCTACTTCCTTGAGCACCTTGGCGTAACGGTCGGGATTGGAACCCAGCTCCTTCAGGTAAACCCCTAGTTCCCGAGCCGATCTGAAATGAGCGGCGTTGATCACGGTGTCTGGAGGAAGGTAGCGGTCATAATCAAAGCCTCCTCTGACCACGGGGATCACGTGACTGCGCTGTTTATACAGCAGGAGGAGTTTTTCCGACACGTAGTCCTGGCAGAAAGAGTTCTCAAAGGACAGGTAGAATCTGTACGTCTTCAGCATGTCTTGGCATTGGTGAAACTGAGAGCGAGGGCAGGAGAGATTCCCACATTTCCCGTAGATGTCAACATTGATGTATTTCTGAAATGGAAAAGAAGTTTATTTTCTGACCGTTAATACATGTACTTCTCTTAGGGGAAATAACAATATGATTTTGATTAACTCATGTAGATAAAAATGTCAAAATCATAGTTATTCTTTCTCTGGGTATAAATGCGCCTCCCGTAGATATAATCAACACTGTATTGCTGCAACGAAAAACGTAAATATTAATACAGCCGTAACTCATCATCAAGCGCCAGATCTGCGAAGGACATTGGCGATCATGGTTCTCCACTCATTCCTTTGGTGGCAAGCTCTCAAAAAAAGAAAAGCTATATTTTTCAGATCTTTCCCCTTTACCCATCTGTTTGGCTCTTCAAGTACGTTGCTGTGGGTCTACCTCTGCCTCGTTTGCCTT